TACGATGTTTGTAATGAACTTTTTTCATAAAATTTTCTCAATAACTTAGTCGGGTTTTTTTTTCATATGTGTAAAAACCTTGAAAATGAATAGGGATACAACGATGGTTCTACCACCAGCAGTTGGGTCAGTGTTTGAGGTAAGTTAAACGGTGGTTTTACCTGTGAGAGCATCAACGAGTAAGACAATAGAGATTTAGTTTACTTTTAAGGGACGGTCCTATAGGGTGAATTACGAGATAATCTGAGCACATGTTGTAAGGCCTAGTGACTAAGGTGGAATGAAGCTCTTTTACTGTAATCGTTGTAATGATGTCACGTATGTTGATCAAACCAAACGATAATTATTTGAGAGCTCTTAACCGAACACCGGGTCACTTCTTTAGTACGGGTCAGCTATTGTCCAAACCATCACTCGCGCTCTACAGGGAATCTATGTAACTAGGGAATTCACGTAATTCTAAAATTATTCACCTAACCTCACCTAACGCAAAATAGCCTAACATGGTTAGTATTTATGCGGGTGAAATAACTCAGGGAATGGCTGCTGAACAACTACAGTAGCAGCAAGTGCAGTAACACAAAGTGAACGCTCGCCCCGTCCACTGCTACTTTACTAGTTACCACGCTGTCAGTCGTCACACTTGCTAACCTTCATGATATATATATATATATATATATATATATATATATATATATATATATATATATATATATATATATATATATATATATATATATATATATATATATATATAGTGTGTGTGTGTGTGTGTGTGTGTGTGGAGGTGAATGTAAAGAAGGATTTCTGTTTTGTTTACCCCTGAAACAACCAGTAGAGCCAGAGATGTATTCATTAAAGTTAACGAGTATTTAGTTTACCATGGAGTCAGCTGGTGTATGATTGGATCTGCTGATGAGGCTCCTGACATATTAGGGAACAAGTCGGGTTTTGTAACCCTTGTAAGCGAGGTCACATATGGCGATGCGCACACACGCACTCCTGTGAAAATCATGGTTTAGTTTTACTTCCACTTGGTGTTTCAGTGAAGGAACGAAGAGTCTAATATGCTGTAATAAGCCTCATTTAACTCCCGCTTCTAAGAATACTGATGAAATTATAAAATGGTAAACCTGTAGCGTAATGGAGAGACAAACAAGGAATATAAAGTTCACGTTTCTTACCAAGTGGTGGGGTGTTGCAGGAGTATTAATATTGTTATCGGTAAAGTTCGAGAAAAATGTGAGTCACGTTGACCCCAAAACAAAATAACAAGAGTGCACCGTGCTGCTGCCTGTCTGTGTGTGTGTGTGTGTGTGTGTGTGTGTGTGTGCGTGTGTGTGTGTGTATGTTTTTGTTTACAAGTGATGGAGCTTTTGTACATTCTAGTTCACGTTACCATCACTATCAGTTAGAATAGAGAATAGTCAGTATGAAGACTTAATGTGGTAATCTACTTATTAATCACTGCTGTGTTAAGGTGGAGTCAGATTAATATTTTAGAACAATTCACGTTGACGAGGTTAAGAGAAGGACTGATGTGGATTTACGATTCTATTGATTTCACACTGAGTTGATCACTTGACACACGCCTGCAGACAACTCATATATGTTAAAGGTTTCAGAGTGACTAAACAACCTCTAAATTAGCGTCACCTCGCTCTTATACTTTACAATCACGTACATATTTTGTCTTAGGTCACAACACCATAATATGTATAACTATCAGTAAATTAAAGATGAAATATACTTAGTTACAGATATTTTATAGCTCTTAGACCTTCCACCGAGCCTCCAAGCATCATTGTACGCCACTGATCTGTTTGTTGAGTTGCCTCGTCTTCACCACCATCATCATCACCGTCACCCCGGGGACAGAAAGATGCTTCTCCTTCACCATCTGTGCATCTCAGTACCTTTTTTTTTTGTATACATGAGTTGCTATCCGCATCTCCCCTGTGTACATTTTCTTTTTTCCCTAAAGTCAATAATGTGTTTTGGTTTTTCCTCACAGTCACACATCCTTGAGTAATTTCCCCTACTCCTCTCACCTTCTTTGTCTCTCCCTCCTCTCCCTTCCCCAGAGTAGGTCCCCCCCTCTGCCACCATCAGGGTCACCTTGGGAGGGAAAGTGTTAATCCACTGGGAAATTTGAATAATGTGTGATATTGTGTCATCATCTCTACACCAGCAGAAGCCTCACCTAATATTCCAAAACAGCTGAGAGTACAAAAGATATTATGGAACATGTACTAAAGTTATATTATATTAATGTCATTCAGTAGAAAGTTTGTAACAAATACCTAAGTGAAAACCTTATTAAGTTAGTGAATATTAGTTATGTGTGTGTGTGTGTGTGTGTGTGTGTGTGTGTGTGTGTGTGTATTTGTGTGTGTGGGTTTATGGAAAAATGAATTTGACGTGTTCAGCTGGACACACAAAGGCACGGTATGGTCAACAGCAGCCACCCAGGGATACTGACACGAATGAGAGGATGTTTTGCCGGAAGGTAACTTAGGTAAAGTAGATCAGGTAACTCTCGGCTGTAACTCCTTATACAAGCAACCACTCAAGCCGTCACTAGATTTATCGTGAAAGGAACATCAGAATATCTGCTGTAAATTCTTTGTAAATGTAAGAATATATAAGTCAGATTTTGATATAACAAACTCCACTTAAACTGAATGAATACAATGTAAACTTTGTAACTTGACTAATATTACACTAGACAACAAACCGAAGTATATCAGTATTGAGCAACGATCAGCCGGGACACAACACTGCAACAAATAAACATAGCGGTGTGTGGGTGTGTGGGTGTGTGTGGGTGTGTGGGTGTGTGGGGGGGGTAGGGGGTGTGCGAGCGCTTCCATGACAGAAAGATGTTACTCATTAATACAGTATAACATACAAATAGCTTCAATATTGCAATTCAATTGTCCTTAGAGTAATAAAAGGCAATATTTTTCTGATAGGCCCAGTTTTTTATTTTGCTGAAACTTCCAGAAGGATTCCTTTGTGTATGCCCTACTAACGGGGAGATTTATTACCTGTTGAGACATAAATTCTATTCTCATGTTGGCCCAGATACCCGGCGGCGGTACACAATGTGGCCTCCAATGAAATGTGAATTAATGAGCTTCTCCGGAGGTTCATTTTTTCCCGGTAAAGGCATCTGCTCTCTCTCCTCTTGCCTCTAGTTGACATCCACACACAGACGGAGACACAGACCTGTGCTCCGGTTTACGTCTTGGATCATAAGATACTAAATCCTTTGTCTGAATGTCTTGACTAATGCTGTATATTACCGTATCCAATATTAATGGTCATTCGACATTATATGGTTCTGGTTGGTTGAATTTAGTGCCCAATAAGTGCTTCTATACAGACTTATAGAGCTCACTAAGATAATTAAATCTTGGAACTTTGTTTGGGAACTAAGGTCACGAACATAATACCAGTGTATGTTGTCATCCACCTTGGTCCTAACAAACACCAGCACAGTTGACCTTACCTGTGGTGTTCTTATATAAGTTGTATATATTTGTTGGTTGTGAATCTATGAATATTATTGTTGGTCCTATAACTCCGTGTGTGGTGTTCGGTTGTGGCGGACGGAAAGAGTTGGCATTTTCAGGAGAAAAAGAATTGCGAAAAAGAGTATTTTTTCTCGAGTAAGAAAAAAAGAAAAAGATGGACACTGCCCCCCCCCCCCCATAACAAATGTTCCCAGCAACGCGTGGCAGCTCGGAAGGGGGAATGGGGTGAAGCGGTGTGTGGCGTGGTAGCGAGAAGAGCTTAGCTGGAAAAGGCTTGGCGTGCTGTGACTAGGTTGGGGTGGCCTTCACTATTACACTACCGCCAACAATTACACCCAGACGCCCTCGTTATAAAGGAACTGCCAGTATAAAAAAACAATGGTGAGCGTCGGTGTACCTACGACGTCCAAGAGGCCTGGAAGGTTGTGTGTGCCACCGTGAGACCCGGAAGTAGGTGACAACTTGGCACTGCAGTGTAAATGTCAGGGCCGAGTGTGGCTGTGGCATTATATATATACTGTACATACGTAGTAAAGCTGTGCACAAAAAGAGTTAGGCAGAGAGAGGGAGGGTGGGGGGGTGGTAGGGGAAGAGGAGACTTGACAACATTACAAAAAAAATTGGCGGTTAAGAGTCTACGATTCTTCACGCCACAAATTGAGTTTTCGTAGTTTAATTACGAGACAGGGCAGCGTACAGTAGCAATGTGCTGTAAATAACTCAATAGAGCCACAAAAATGTCGTAAGAATGTTGAAGGATTTGAGAAGACCTTTTTTTCACAACCACCCCGATACTAGTACTTTCTCCCTCTCTCTCTCTCCCTCCCTCTCTCCTTCCCTCCCTCTCTCCCACCCTCCCTCCCTCCCTCCCTCTCTCCCTCCCTCCCTGCTTTTTTACACACCAACACAATACATAAGTGTATAAATGAAACACCAGAGAATTCATATTATTACTGTGATTATGTTTCATCTCATAACGTGGACAAGATCATGATACTACTCAAGTGACGTCATCCATTCCTATACCAAGTACAATTTAATATAATAACGTCTGTTTAACTAATATTGTGTTTGTTTATCCTCTAATATATATAATGAGACACACTACAACCATAATTATTTCCCCTATACTTTATAATAGGAACAAATAAATCCCAAATTACAGTCATTTTTCAACCTGTCACATGAACAGTTAAGCGATAATGTCATATAATCAGTGTAAAGTCGAATGATCCATCACATTATAGCCGTCACCATACCTATAATCGTGTTAAGTTAATCAACATGTGTTTACGATACTTCTAGAACAACCACAACCAAATTATGGTGGGTCGTCGACTAAGGGACAGAGACCAGCCACACTAACACGGGTTAAGTGAAAGAAACTAACGATGACTTGTTTATTTGTGAGTTTACTGTTGTGCTTTGTGAGACTTTCCTTGAGAGAGAGAGAGAGAGAGAGAGAGAGAGAGAGAGAGAGAGAGAGAGAGAGAGAGAGAGAGAGAGAGAGAGAGCTGTAAGCTTATTCATTTTACTCGATTTAACCCGTTGAAGTTTTTGAACCAGTTTTAGATCTTTATTATTCTGTCACTAATTTTAGATGCAAGTGTTAAAAAAATAATAGCAGATGAAACAATTATGGTCTTTGGTCACCAGGATAAAGTTGTATGGTAATCTTCTATTATTGAAGGAAATCTCAATATATTTAAATTAAAAATTTCCTACACTGTATAATTTATTACCTTTTATTTACTTTTCGTTTTGAGCATAAATCTACGTAAACAAAACTCCAAATATATGTATTAACTCTAATACGCTTATCATACCCCTGTACACTGTCTTATATAAACCGAGAGTGGATACCGAGGCAGTGCGGATATAGCACACTGAACACTATACTCCTGGTGCTGAAAAACAAACAAAAAACAATGTAGCCAATATTACACATCGCCGTCTTCACATCACGAACTGCCCAAAATTCTAAGGACAAAACTCACAGTAATGATACAGTAATGTCTAATAGTTTTACTCTAGTCGCTTAGCTCTGTTCATGGCTCTGTTCATTCCTAACTAAGTTCATTATAAGTCACCAAGTTCTACGGAGGTCACCAGCTGTTCCGAATCATCCAATTAACTAAAGGTCACCAGCTGTATAGAGATCACCAAACTCTACAGATAAATCTCACCATATGTTATACCAGGTAGTGAACACGTTAGAATAATGGTGGAGGGATAAACCTGACAGCTATGACACAGCTACTCCCTGTTTCACAACCACTAACGACGAACGGAGTAACGAAAGTTGATAGATCTTGAGGGATAATGACAGGGCTGTTTCCTGGGTTACTTATACCAAGGAAGTTTACGTTCAAGGATGGTAGGGCGGGCAACAGTTGACGTTCATCCTCCTGCTGATCACGAGGGAGAGGCGAGGAGGCGACCCCAAGGATTGACCCGACGAAGGTGATGACGGCGAGGTATAGATAAATGGTGATGGTGGGGATGGTGGTCTTCATGGTTGATTAGTTGATGGGTTGGATGATTTAGTTGGGTGAATGGCAATCTGTTGGAGAGATGACAAGAGATGTGGACTGCAGTTTCCTTCATTCTTATGTTCCTATAAGTGCTATTGTGGCGCTGCTCTCTCTCTCTTAGCTACAGCAACTACCTATACGAAACAGTTCATCCAACTCAAACTACGACAAATAATAAAAGCTGTCAGTAGTGTTTGATTATAAATAAGACATAATTAAACAATGATTAAGTCGATGTATTATTCTGCACCAACATTCAAAAGGAGATTACAGTAGTTACAGAAGCTTCCTGCAGTATTGTGAGGAACTTTCTTGATAAAACAATCAAACTAATCTCTAACATAAGGTCTGGGATAAACTCGGCTTCCTTCTTGGAATTACAAATGTGACTTTAGAAATTGTGAAACAGACATCTTGTGATCTTGTTACCTTGATACAATAATAAAAGGTGAAACAGAATTTTTCATTTCTTACATATTTGTTTGAAAATTACTAAGGCTCATCCTTATTATATATCTTGTGATAAAGGTGTTTACAGTCCTCCATCACCAGGTCTTAAGAACTGACATGCTTGTAGAAACTTGTTATACATGCAAGAATTCCTGCCATAATATCCTGGCCCTTGGGGTTTTTTATATATACCGTTTGTGATCTCTGTAGCGCTACCACTCACAGGAGGAGTATGGGATTCACAATAAACTAGCCGCTGTAAATAACAAAATTAAACAAATTAATGATCTGACTGGACAACAGTAACGTACTCGCTCGAGGAAAAGTGTAAACACTCCGAGAAGACTGATGCTCAGATGGCTTCAGGCTGCCAAGGTCAGGCAATATTCGACAACAGTTGGTTCCAGAGGTTGTCCAGTGATGCGAGCGGCTCCAGTGTCCAGCAGTCTGTGTGTGTGTGTGTAGGAAGGGTACCACCAGCCTTTATACCTGACAGTTTTAATAGCGTAAAGTTCTCGGAGATGCGTTAACCAGGTTCTCGAGTGTCCGAATCCACAACCAATGACGATCCTTGCTAACACTCCCTCGTGTCCTTCATTCCGTGAAACATATTAGTGAACTTTCATCCCAATTTCACTAACAAACTACTTTAAACACTCGAGTATAGTCGGGTATTACCGTAAAGTATATAGAATTTTACTGTAAGTGTAAATGTCCTCATCGAGTCGAGGGATGGGACTGAACAAATAGAAAGTGATGAGGAAGGGGAGGCGGGGGTAGGATTCTCCACGCCAGCAAGAGAGAGTGTACAGTGTTTGTTGATAGTGTTGCTCAGTACCGCTTAGTTCAGCTTTCACTCACAGGCAAGAACCGTTATTTACAGGAATACATACAGATGAGACCGTGAGAGTCGGTAATGATAAGACACACTATCATTTCTAATCTCTCTTCTATGTAGTCATTTCTTTTCGTTTGGCTTTGTGTTGAAGCGTTACCGTAGCGCACCACAAGGGCCGGGTCAGATTAGGTCACAGTGCCAGCATAGATCTGTCTGTAACGATGAATAGGTCAGTACCTCGGGATAAGTCACTCTCGGTCAATATGAAGTCACAAGTCAAACAAGTCAAAGGAGGAAAGTTCAGCCTTACACTGAAAAGCTTCTCGGTAGATCAACAGATGATGATAATCTTTCACCACCGACGCTATTAAACGAGGAACTGTAACGTGCATGATAATAATAGTAATAATAGTAATAATAATGATAATAATAATAATGAACGGTATTGACGATTCAAAACAGAGTTTGTTCTTCTTCAACATCAGAATAGTCGGGGTAGAATAACAAACGGTATTTAGCTATTTGCGAGTGTGTGTGTGTGACTGGTAATATAATCTGAGATTTTCCACACACTTCAGGGAGCCAATTAGTTACGGAACTCCGGGACTGGACAACGACACAGAACTTCCGGGGAAAGTTCCAGTTTTCAGGAGTCTCACAAATCAAGACCTATGTGATGCAGGATGCGCAAAATAACGTTCACTCTTACACACATACGTACACATGTCTACTTGAGAACAATCATGCAAGTGTACATATAAGCCGTGTTGTTGTTGACCTCCATAGATAAGTTAACGTACCAAAAAAATTGCCATAATATTTTTTGGTGACTGGGCGGCAAAAAAAGACATCAAGTGTGTGACGGAGGAGGGAGGCAAGAGGCTGCTGGGTTATGTGAGTCTTGGGTGATGAATGTTATAACTTCTTACTGGTCACGATTGATGGTTGCCCTGCCAAGAATCTAAACGACCTGGGGATCCGTGGTGGCACTGTTCTACTCAATAACAGTGCTGCAGTAGTTCGGTCACATGTCAAAAAAAAATATACCTCTGACTTCTGATATATCGTCAAGTATCACTCCACTATTGATAATTTTTATGTAACTTTTTGATAATACAGAGAAATACAAAACGTATAAAATAAGGTTATGGTAGCGAAATAGGACTTCCAGTACAGTAATTGTTTTTAAGGAATAGAGAAATACAAAAACGACTGTATCACACGAGTACATACGGAATTGTCAATATATACTGAAAATTGGCAACTGAGGTAAGATTATTAAACTACCAGATATTAAGTAACGCAGAAGAAACAGTCTGATCCTCCTGAACTTTACATTGACGCACTAACAAGACTACTTAACATTAACTCCTTATAATTTAGGGAACACGATTATCCCTCGAGATGATTTAAATACACGTGGCGTAAACCTTCCACTAAGACCCCGTGACGTCTAACATGGGGCTTCTACCTTACTCGTCTCTCCTCTCTGTGAGGTGTAATATGCTGTACATCTGCTAGGCTTCGTATTGTTGAGTCATAACTCCGTCGACATGTTCTGCATCGATAAGTCATCACTGGTAGTACGCCTTGGTCAAATGTCAATTAGGTTTCTTTTGCCTTTTCGTGGTGCTGGTTAATTGTGTCATTAGCCAGAACAATACAGCCACATAAGAAATACAGAACTCACCTAATGAGTATACGGTCTTCATCCCCCAGACGTGATTGTGTCCCTGTGTAATAAATTAGTTGAGTGTGCATAATGTGGAGAGGTTATTGGGTCCCACAGGGGCAGTGTAATGCACGATACTTATAGTAAATCTTCGTTATACAAGGTGGTAGTACAATCAGGAGTGTGGCGGCCGAGTTAATTTTCGTAAAAGGTGGATGAAAATTGTGGATCTTAACGTGGAAACAGACACCCCGATGGATTTACTTGACAGAGCTTCGTGAAATAAAATTGGTCTACCCAGGTTTTACTTTAACACTGGCAGATTTATGGAATATGTAATGGCTATGTGCTCTTTGTCATCAGATAATACCATGTAATTTGTATATGAAATTATTAAAGTGTTTGTCAGGTGCCACTGCAGAATAGCCGCGCCAAAATCGCCTACATTACACGATTTGTTTATAGTGAGTTAAAAGATTTCGTTTTTAGTTCAGATTAAAAAAAAAATTACATGGCCGCAGTGAACAGAGGACCAAGTATGTCCTTCACCGAGATAATAAAAGACACAAAACAACAACAAGATAAACAAAAGAATTAGAAGAAATTTAATAATATAAGTAATAAAAAAGAAAAATAAATAAAAATGAAAAGCGACGACGTGAAAGAATTTTTAAGATAAATGAGTCAAAAATCAGTTTAAAGAGAACCTTCAGAATATGAACAATGGAGAACACAAAAATAACTTAGGACGTAATGCAGGGAAGATAATACAGACGAGAGATAGAGGATAACTAATATACTTTCCTTCCTCACAGTGCGCTATAAACATAGAACGAGTACTTATATAATCTAGGAAAATGTTGCCTTTATCCTTACAGAAAAGAATTCGCGTGTTACAGAGTGGGGCAAAAGAAAGCAAAAATTATGTAAAATGTGTGTTGAAGGCGTGAGGCGCCGGGAAATAAAGACTTCTTTGTGGTGGGTGGTAGAAAGCAGGGAGGGAGGGGACCAGGGAAAGGGTTAGGGAAGCACAGAGGGAGTGAGAGCGCAGGGTTTAGTGGAGAAAGGAGAAAGGGAGGGAGGGAGAGGCCTCAGGAATTGCGTGGGTCAAGCAAAGGCTCTGTGAAGTTCTTTGTGAAGCGCCATCAGTGATGACGCGGCTCATGCGGTGAATAGACCTGAGAATGCTGGTTGTGCTATTCTGGTCTGGGTCAATTTGGGATCGATGATGTGCCCCTCTTGTGTCTGGTGTGAGTCTCTGGACACGAAGGACGGAGACTGAGAAGGAGGGAGGGAGGGAGGGAGACTGAGGACACTAAGGAGGGAGAGAAGGAGGGAGGGATGGAGGGAGACTGAGGACACTAAGGAGGGAGGGAGGGAGGGAGGGAGGAATGGACAGGTGAGGTGGCGTCCACCTTCGGGAACTACAACTCACACGATGTGGTGCCGACCTGGAGGCCCGTGACCCTTCCTGCTACATCAACACCAGATAAAGGGATATGCTTGAGTGTATGTCTGACTGTATCTCTTTGTTGCTTCTTCGTGTATTTGACAGCATCAGCGTAGTTAACAGAGACGTGGGAGTCAAACCTAATTTACTCTGTTCTTGAAGGTGTTGAGATGACGTCATATCTAGTTAGCTAATGTGTTCTAGTGAGGGAGAAGAATTTTTTCTTCAGGGTGAGGGGAGGATGTATGAGTGAGATAACTCAGTCAATGTTTCAGAAAATGAAAAAAGATGGGAAGACCTCCATACAATTTATGTAATACAGGTGGGGAGTTCTGGTAAGAGAAACAATTAGCACAGGTGATTGAAGCAATACAGGTAAGATAAATATTTGTCGTAGGTGGTAGATGTAAGAAGACCCATGTCAAAGTTAGGTTAGGGTATTCATTGTTTTCGTTGATCTATCTATAATAATAAAAGGACGTGTCTGTCTGTCTGCCTGTCTACCTGTCTGTTCCAGCCATAGCTCTAAAACGGAAGCAGTTAGAGACGTTAAACTTTACACAGATATCACACGGGCTCCCAGGTTGTGCACCTTAGTACTACTATTGACCAGGGACCCCCGGGTGGTCCGGGCAAGAACCAAAAATCTTCCCCTACTGAGATATCACCACGGCGATTGTGGGAGGTGGCTACCCGTGTCAGGGAGAACAAACTGTGACAGTTAAGGTTATACAGTATATATACCTGGCCGGTGTGAAGTCGGGTAAGTTTGCTAGTATAGAATAAAGTCATTAAGTGAGGCTACTGAGATGTGGTTTTGGACATACAGTAGAGGTGTAAGAGGAGTGTAGTGGAAGTGAGAATAGGTTCTGTTCCCAAGGAGGCAGTGTGGGCCGGAGATGTACTCAAACACATTTAGATCCCCAGTGACGACTATTAGAGTTTGTGTGTTCTGAACGTGAAGCACAGGCCCTTGTGACATGGGGGGAAAAGCTGTATTCACATGACCATCACACCTCCAGCATCATAGTAGAGGGAAGTGAACTGATGAATGAGGAGGCTGTACTATGGCTTCCTGTCCATAGTGTTGGATAAATAATACTTCATAAACGAGTTTGTAAACAAGAAGAATAATAATCCCTTAACTGCACAGTAGCAAATCACTGCATCGGTCAACTCACATACGGTGTCAGCAAACGGACAGTCAGAGGCTATTCTGACGTCGTATGTAAATAAATTAAAATATACAGATGAAAAATAGTATTATCTCATTCCGTATTTGATAGCAATGGAGTCATAAACTGGCTTTGCATGTAAAGTGGAGGGGGGGAGGGGGGAGGGGAGGGGAGGGGAGGGGAGGGGAAGGAAGGGGAGGGAAGGGCTCACGTAAAATAGAACAAATGAGAGAGGAAGGGGAGATACTTCATGCATGTTGTGCACTAAATGGAGGGACTGCAACACTCGCTGGTTTTTAAGGTAGACAC